TTTTAAATAAGCAGCATCATCATTGCTGCAATTTATTTTTGACAAAAATTTAATTTGTGTTTGAAAATGAATGTAACAAGTGGCTTTGTTATACTAATTACATAATAAATATTTATAGAAAGGTAGAATAAACAAAACAAATATAAACAAAATAGAAAGAAAGAATATTATTATTTACAACATAAAGTATATTGAATTGATGAAGCCAAGATTCTCAATAAAAAAAAAAACATGTATAAATATTTTAGACACAGTTGGGTGCACATTCACAAACACATCAAAATTGACAGTATCTGAAAAAAAAAAAAAGGAAAATATATATGTAAATATCTATATAGATTTTCAACCAAAATCTTATGGTATTCACTGACTTTTACAGGTCATGATTAAAAACATTCCTGTCCACCGAAAATGGCTATGGTTGTACAATATATAAACATGTTTATAAATAAGTAATTGAATTATTGTTCCTCCTCCTTATTATGAGGCAATAAATGACAAAGACAAGTTGGTTTATATAGTAGTTAACAATTTGCTGTTGATGGATATAACTTATTTTCTTTTGTCCTGAAGTGAGGTAAAAGAAAAATTGATTGGCTCCTTACTACATTTTTGTTTAGGAACATAACTGATGTTTTTTGATAATCATTTTACACAATACTTTCTGTTCTGATGTAGTCTGAATTAGTGAAACAGTGACTGGTTAATTAATTCACTGCTAATTGAGTCATAAGGTTTCAAGTATTAAGTAACTTAATTACCAAATGCCCTTAAAATATTATGTATTAATTAATGTCTCATAAATAAACTCCTGTAAAATTCATTTCTAACTCAAACAAGACTAATAATGTTATTTTATTCTTAAAAGTAAAATCATAACTTCAATGCTCACAGTTGTTTCAAATTTAAAACAGCACACTACTCAATTGCTTAGGAAACATAGAACTCTTTAGTTTAAATTTGAAAGTATCCTTTCTACTGGCCCAACTTATATATTTTTAAACACTCAGCTTAATGTTATTGAAAGTTGTATGTGAAATACATAAATACATTTCCAAGGCTAAACAGGGTTGGTAGGACCACTAAAACATTAGATCTTTCCCTGAGGGAGACAGTCCATGAACCTCAGGTCCCACATATCAAATCATGATTCTCAGTTCAGAAACATGGTGTAGTTCCACATCTCTAATAGTAAGTAGCACAGGCAGATCTACAGGGGAAGGGTTAGAGGAAATTTTCGGGCTAAAGCCCTCCTCCTCTCTCCAAAATGGTGAAATGTAACCATGTTTTATCAAAAAAAATTATCTCTTAATGTATTATTATTCGTATAATTACATTTAATAGGACGTTAAGAATCACTTAAACACCATTTCGTATAGGTAATTAGTATCTTTCTTTTTTCTCTAAAGTAATTATTGTTATATATATATATGAAAAAAAAAAGCTTACGGGCTGAAGCCTCCCCTCCCCAAAATTAAACCCTGGATCCCGTACTAGTTACCTCAAGTGTGATAGTTATTCTTCAATTACCTCATGTACACACACTGACTTCCTCAAACACATATTATTTAAATGAGATACAGTGCTATCTCATTAATCCATTCAAAAGAATTGACATGTTTCCTCCTGTTGGTAATCTGCTAGTCTGTTTATAGTATTTGTTGGTTATGTGATGAAGAAAAATTACACTTTTAAATGTTGCTTTCATAATGTAACAAAATTTCTCCCTGTTAGCATGACTGATGCTTTTCTGGCACTGATGGATCCTGCCAGCAGACTTGGATTGGAAAGTAATGAGTCCAAAACAAAATATATGGTAACAGAAGAAATTCCAGGCCAGACAGTCACTATTGGGCTTCATAAATTTGAGAAGGTTTCGGAGTTCACTTATCTGGGATCTGTGGTCAGAATAATAACCGCAATATTTAAATAATATAAAGGATCATAGTAATCAACAAGTGCTACTTTGGATTGAGCGAGCAGCTAAGCAGGCGGATACTTTCCAGGCAGACCAAGCTCCACCTCTACAAGACATTGGTGCGTCCTGTACTTCTTTATGGATCAGAGTGCTGAACAGCTACGAAGGCCACTGAAAAGGAACTCCTTATTTTTGCAAGAAAAGTTCTGTGCCATGTTTTTGGGGGAGTGAAAGTTGGAGATGAGTGAAAGCATTGCACGAACTAGATGCTTTCGGAGAAGTTGTACAATATGAAAGCAATGAAATTAAGACGTTCTATATTTGGAACATGGAGAAGAGAGAGACCAAGGCTGAGATAGTTGGGTGGTGTGGCAAGAGACGCCCGCAGCGTGCTGGGTGTTAGAAACTGGGTGATGTCAGCGCAAGATCGTGACGATTGGAGGAGATCAACTCAAGACCTGCAACCTGGTTGTAGGGCTGTGAAATAATAATTATGTTACAAAACGTACCTTCATTTGGGGTTACTTGATCACTGGGCCTCCCTTGCAACCACATTAAAAAAATGTTCTGGGGATATTGTAAAGTTTCTCAAAACCTAGTTAATACTGCTTCCTCAATATTCTAAATAAGAGATTTTCATGTAGTTAAAATCTTTTTTCAGTAGAACCAGGTAACTCCAAGTTAAGGTGATTAGATAGGAGTAGAATACAGAAATAACATGCTAATTTTAATTAAATTTTAAACAAAGACTTTGGCTAAATGTCTAATAAAGCCTTCATAAACTAAAATATTGAGTTATTTTGTCTTGTTTATTTATTCTTTTTGCTTTCCTTGACCGAGAACCAATCCTTCCTAAACATGAAATGTTTTTCCAGTTACCTTGTGATTTTTAGGTAAGAAGTATAACAGCATCCTCCTAGAAAATGGTAGTACTATATTATTTGAAAAAATAAAATAATGTAATTCTGGAATAGAGAAGCAATACTTTTTTTTAATTCACAAAATTGGCAATTTTCATAATCAACCTTTTTTAAATCAATGAAGTTGTAAGGTCATTAAATATTATCACTTAAAGTCCATAAGTAAATAGGAGATGCAAATTTTAACAACAGATAGTTCTACACTTAAAATAAAATATAATTAATTACAAGAGAAAATTTTCATAATTTATTAGTTAATATAATGCACATTGACTTAATGTGCCATGAACCTAACCTGTAAAATGAAATATGAAGCAATTTTCATTTAGCTTATTAAAAAAACAAAGAATCTGAAGACCATTTATCAAACTAATCAAAGTTTATAGAATAATTTTATAAAAAAAATTAATGATAAAATATATACAAACAAAAGCTAATCAAATTATAGTTAGTAAACAGGTAAGAACATTAGCAATGTTAAAACTAAGAAATTAAGCATTAAATCAATTTTAATATTAACTTTCACAAACAATGAATAAATTCTAGAATCAAATTAGGTATCATCATTCAAAAATATAACCAAAAATTTCATCATCTTCATTGAGATTCAAATAAAAAAAATTGGTGCAGTGCGCGCATAACACAACTTTCACTTACCAACCTTAGAGTACATAGGTATTTTCATGTATAAGTAAATCAAAATGAAAATAGTGGGGTATATCTTCATTTAAAACAATTAATTACCATGTTTTTCATGCCCATCGAATCTGTTAAAGTTATAAATTTGAATCGCTTTTCACTTCCTTTTAGAACTGTGTATAGTATCAAACATTACTAATGATTGTGGGTGAAAATGGATCTTTTGAAAAATTCTGAGTTTTATAGGAAACATTAATCATGAAACTTGTCAAAAAAAAAACTAAACGTTAGTAAATATTGTATATTATTTGGTTTATATTTGTAGATCCTCAATATTGATGATGAAAACCGTTTAAAAAGTAATGGATATGTGATACATAAAAGTTAAACTAACAATATGAAAGTCCTGGATAGAGCGGTGTCGGGTACCTGTTTAGGGAGAGGATCAGCAAACATTGGGCACTCTCCGTTGTTTCCACACAGCTTTCAACCCTTATTTCTTCTTTAGTTACTGATCAATTTTCTTCATTCATTATATTTAATAATTTTTTATAGCAGTTTCCAATGTGAAAAAGTTAATTATTTCAAATAAACAAAATTAAAGAAAGAATTTCTTTGGAAGAAATTTTCAAAATTAGGTATTTAAGAGAGAACATCAGAGAGGATAACACCTACATTATATTAAAAAAAGGTTAATTTTACACGGCTATAATGAATTTAATCAAAATCTTTAGAGCCATCATCGATAAAATCGTAAAAATGTGTAAAATATATGATATAAAGTGACACTTCTGGTAAGCTGATTTTGACGAAAAAGGTGCTGTAACATTGAATGCATGTAAAAACCTTAAATACGAAACTTTAGTTGCATACTGTAATTTTAGTTTTCAAGCTAGAATGTTCACATAAACACACAGATCATTTTGCGGAACTTGGTTGTTTCGACTCAGGGGCTTCAAAACATGTATTTCTGTTAAACTCAGATTCAAAAATTTTCACGATCACAATACTTTCCTTACTATATATTACATGCATAGTTAAGTAAAAGTAAAAAAAAGCTGGTTGTTCCACTCAAATGATTTTTCCTTACTCACACTCACTGCTTCCAATTAAAAAATGTTTAATTTGTTAAACATTTGATCATTTGCAATTATAGTTGATATAGTTTTTGAGTTATTAGAGAAAAGAGAAGAGGTTGTTTCCATGCAAAAATACACACAATAATTTAAAAATCATGCATAAGAATTTCTTTGTTAACAATTAAATATAGAGGAAGGGAGGATAAATAGTCATTAGACAAGGAAATGGCAAGAGGGGAAAGGACATAAATCTTATTCTTTATGGAACTCAAACACTAATTATGAAAACACACAAAAAAAAAAAAATAAGGAATTTTCAAAAGAAAACATGATTTTTTTATAAATCCATCAATAAGGTAAAATTTAATGAATAAGATGCATATAAAAAAATAGTAATATATTTTTCAAGGTAACACATAGTTTGAATGTATTATATGTAACATTGAACAGTTTATTGATTTTATGAATCAACATGGTTTTTTTTTACTATTTCTTCAAAATAAAAACAAAAAGGAATCTATAACATTAATTATAACAGCTTTAGTTTAGTCACAGCCAGTGATATTTGAACTTCAATGAAAATACATAATTAGGACATAATCCACATCGACATGATCAGGACACAGTCCACATCAATATGGTTAGGGTATGAATTTAATTTAAAATTTACATGGTTAGGGCAGAACATAAAATTTATTTGTTCTTCATAAATGTTTAAGAAGCTCAACACCAAGCCAAGCAAAAAAGAGAAAAAACAGAAAATACAGCCACAGCCTGAAACATGTTCATAGGTAGGAAAGAATCTTACAAAATTAAATTTTTAGTAACGAAATAAAACAATACAACAAAATATTTTGTTATTAATCCTTAATGGCTTGCCTAAAATATTTTTTCAAAATCATTAATAATATGGAAACGGCCAAATAGAACATAAGGATCATTAAAAAAAATAAAATAAAATAATTCAAAAGCACACTAAAATGAATACAAATAATTTCTGATGCCAGTTCCAAAATTATTTTTCAACATATCTTTTATTGTATTATTTAATTTCTGTCCCAATCAATGAACATTATAATAATGATGACAAAATACATGCCAAAATAGTAAGCTATGAAAAAAGGTATCCACTTGTAATACCACTAATCTAATTTTAAAACTAGGAATGAGTAATATTATAAAAGATAATATGTAACATGACGAAAACGGTGTGGCAATCCTTATAGCTTCCCTAAAATAATTGGGATACAACCACAAAGTGTATATACTTTTATACAGATAGGCACAGAGATAGGCAAATACTACTCTGAGTACTGAGTACCAAGTATTTTATTCAAATACTGACCTTTTTTTATTACATTACCTACAGTACTTTTGCATTTATCAGCTAAACAGCTGATCTCCCACAAACGTTTACCCTTTTCATAATTTAACCCAATTATTTATTACCCTTCGACAGTTGTCTGAGCCATAAAGAATAAAATTTGCGCACCAGGGCAATATATCGCAGTGATTAATGAGAAATGGTTTTACTTTAAATCCAGTCATGACCTGTGAATAACGTCTTTTAATCCTGGAAGGATTAAATTAACTTTTTTTCCAAAATGTAAGCGTCCAGAAACGTGTTGCATAAAAAATAAGCAATAATTGTAGATATTCTCTCCATTTTTAAAATAATAAACCAATTAAGTGTTTGACATATATAGTTAGTTTAATAAGTTTTTTTTTTTTTAAATCTCACTCAAAATGGTGATAATTTTTTGAGAAATATGGGTGTCCTAAAACTTTTGTTATGACTATAATTATAATAGAATTAATTTTTAACGATAATATTATCTACCATCCAATTCCAGGGCCTCTAACATTACTTGTTTAGGACAATTAAGTAAAGTTGGGCGACAATTCCACTGAAGCAACACTGAACATGTGGCTTGATACTTGTTTCCTTGTGTTGCCAATTATAGGCATCTGACTATGTGGCACTAAAGTTAATTAATGTCACATCATATGCGCATTGCCATAGATGAGTGTACCATACGTCTGAAGCGATTTCATTCAGACAACTTCAGTTAGGTACATCATGTCATCACAAACAGTCGCGGTAAGAGCTTATTTGGTAATCGCTTTGAATTGTAAATGGAAAAGCAAAATGCCATAATATTGGAGAAGAGAGCTATATGTCAATGGTCAAGAAATTCAATATACTTTGTACAACAAGTGGTTGCTGATGATGATGTTTTATTTTGAAATTTCAAACGGATGAGTAATGAAGATTTTCAGCACTTACTTGAAAAAACCTCACCTATGATAAAAAAATATGATACCAACTCGCGATGAAATGCTGACCGCAAATTCTTGATTTGTTTTTTACTTCCATCACCGTACAACTATATTTTCTTATTGAAATAAATTAGCCATTAATAAATAGAACTGTTATTTTTATCTTCATCACCATACAATAATTATATTTACCCCTAATTGTTTCAACTTACTGTTTTTAATTCTTATATCTTTGTATTCAGCGATTTTATTATTCCATAATTCGAAGAAATTATATTAATCATCAATAAAAGACATAATTTTTTCGTTCACCCCTCTCCTAGCCACACCGTTGACTGTTGGATAGATGACAACACTGTTTGTCATGTTGAATCATATCGAGAGGACGCAAATATCAGTTTATCGAGAGGTGACGCAATCGACAAGCAACAAAGGTCTACTTGTAGCATGTGGCAAGGAGACCTATTTTTTGTGTTCCTTCTATGAAAAGACTATTATATACAAGACTAGCATATAGAATATGCTACATGTTGTCTGAAAGTTGCCTCAGTGGAATTGTGCCTTTATCATCAGTGGTTGTAGTTTCTGGTCATTCCTAATATAACCAAATTGAAATAACCATAATTACATTCAGCTGCCCAAAATTTGATAAACAAAAATAATCATGAAGAGCTTCCTTACATAGGGTCCAACTTGCTTTTCATTTGGATTGCATGTGTTGCATTAAAAAAAAAAGAAATCACTAAAGCAATGATTCTCAATTGCATTATTTTCAAAAGACTGAAATCAACTCATCAAAAAAACTCTTAAACAATGACTGAGGGTATAAAACTGGATACATTTTGGCGTGTACCTTTAACTTTCAAATTATGTTCAAACACGTATCCTAAATGTTTTTAGAAGAATCCTTGTTGCCCTTGTTAAACTGGGAACCTTTTAAGATAACCGTTAAACTGCAGGAGTAAAAATTAACAGAACCATCTTGGGAGCTGTAGCATTTAAAATTTGGGTATGTATGTTTAAGATTAAGTCTTTTGTCTAATATTTTCAACAAACGAAATGATCTTTAAAAAATTCAATTTAAACCTAATATTATAAAGAAAGAGTAACCAAAAGCTCACAAGTTTACACCAATCTGCTGAAAAAAAAAAATAACATGCTAAAAATAAATTATTTCTTTATTTAATATGAACCGTTAATGTAAAAAGTAAAATTAAATCAACTAAATATAAACTGAAACTATTAAAATAATCCAATAAATAAAAAAAAAATCACAATTGAAATAATTTATTTATTATCAACAAATGAAGTAAGATACTTCAAAATGGAGGCTAGGTTGTTTTGTTGCTTGCGAGTACAATATCCTAGAAAAAAAATACATGACTGAGTAAATGATTACATGCTATTTAATAAGAAAATAATAATATAACAGAAAACATTAAGTAGAACGAGTATTTTACATTTCTTTTCCTATAAAGAAGAACATGAAGTTGTGAATGAAAAACAAGAATATAAATACAAGCTATTTATAATTTATAATAAATGCAGATGGAATTAAAAAATCATTTTACTGAAAAGAGGGATTACAGACATGAAATCACCGATTTCAACGAAAATTTCTTTGATTGATACTAGGTCAAAAAATATTAGACACGTCTGAAGGTTCTTGGCAATATGCCCCAGGAGCTGAGAAAAAAATGTTTGATATAATTTCAATATTTCGTTACATTATTGTTTTCATCCTTATCTCTGAACAGATTTCAATGTTATTATATACTAATTATATAAAATTAATTCAAATGTATTTGAAATTAGATGAACCAAGCGACGCTTTCGGTAAAGTAGGCCAAGTAAATTTTTGTTTTGTAAAAGTGTCAGATTTATTTCTAGCCTCCTTTAAAACCATTAAATATGAAATCGTATTGAAATAAAAAACTGATCATTTTTAAGTTGGATTTTATAGATTTTTAACATTAATACAACCAAGGGGAAGCTCTATTAATGATCTTCCAAACCTATATCAATAACTTTTACATTGTATTGTATGCTATTATAAGGAACCAATAAACAAAAACTCCTCAAACATTTTTATTTTTTATATCCAGCTCTACTTTCTTTACGGATATCTGATATTTATAATTTTGTGTTGATTATACAATAAATCCCTGCTAATTATGAGTAGATAGATAGATTTCTGTTGAAGTAATCACAAATGTTGTGATAACTTCAACTTTTGTTTATCACAATTTTTGTAATTTAAATAAAAAAAAAAAATCACAGGATTTTTATTTTTAACACCAGAAAAATACTTGAATACGAGATAAATGAGAAGGAAAATTAAAATTAAATAAATGATAATGGCAATAAAAATAAATTTGGGTGAATATTGAAATCTAATCCCTCCAACGCACTTGATCACTTCCTAAATCCTAGTAGCCCTGAAGCCAGAGAATCTACCTCATTGCAGGTGAAGGTTTGAATGTAAATTACGAAGCTGTGTATTATTCTAGGCAAAATCAACCTTGTCTGCCATTCCAGAATTGCTGCTTTCAAAAATAGTGGCTGATTTAAAGAATATTGGGCCAGTAACTTGAGGATCGAAACGAGAAATTCATTGCGAAAAAAGTGAGATTTTTTTTTATTTCTTTAACTTGAATATATGGGTTTAGAAATGCAAAAAAACGAAATTGTTAATGCAGACCACCAAAGGAAAACTTTTTACAGACAAAAAAGTCAGAATTTTTCGATCATTTTTTGTTTTATCATCTATAACTTCTAAGCAATGCATCAAAGCGAAAAATGTACTCTAAAAAATTAAAGAACATTAAAGAACCTAAATTTAATAATATGGTTACATAGTATGCTAGAAAACCGCGGTCAACTAACACTGATTTTTACTTGATTTGTCCAAAACTGTGACAAATTACTATAAATGCCCTGTATCTTGGAAATGAGTTCCCTAACAGAAAAAACCCATAGAATCAAAGTTTTAGAGCATTGAATTGTGCGTCCACTGAGTACTAACATTTTTAATGTAGCTGACTTACTCCTAGGTGTCAAGATCTAAGAGAGAGTTTTAAAGAGGCTGTGATGACCCAGCAAGTAGGGGGAGTGTCCTACAGTCCCCGATTCAGAACAGTGTGGGTTCAAATTAGCCATGAGAAACTAATCTTATCACGCTCCCATTCTAGTTAGTACAGAGCAGTAATTAGGGCATGATGGTCAAGTGTGTTGAGGCGTTCCCACCGCTTAACATTCTCGAGTATAGTGGCACAGGTTCGAATAAGGTCTTGGTAGAATGAACTTTATTTTGTGTCAGATCCATGGAATGAATCTTGACGTTTCCATTCTGGATAGGATAGGTTTAGTTGTACCACTACAACAACCCTCCATAAACCAGAAATGGTGAGGTAAAGTGTAATAAAAAATAAAAGTACAGAGCAGTAAAGAGGTCATGGTGGATAAACGTGTTAAAACATAGCTCACTTTAACATTCTCGAATCTAACGACATCTCTATTTTGTAGACCATATTAAAAAACATCAATAAGTGCTAACATCACCGAGTACTAATGAGCCATAATTTTCCTTATAGTAAACTTAATTCTATGTCTGATACTCATTAAAATAAATTCTTGCTGAACAAAATAAATTATAAATTTGTTAAAAACTACCTCATATCATTTGGGGAACTCTTTTTCCTTTTCCCTTCTTCACTTGCATTTTCATTACCATGCTTCCTCTTATTTGGTCTAGGAGAAATGGCAGCTCCTTTTTCACGAATGAATCTGAAATAATTATAATTTCCATTAATAATTTTTATTAAGTTATGTTTTTAATTTTTTTTTTTTTTTTTTTTTTTTTTTTTTTTTTTTTTTTTTTGTTAATGAAAATTTAAAATAAGTACATTTAATTGTAAAAAAATTGTTTAATTGTTAAAGCACAATTTTAATAACTCCCCCTAATGTAGATAATTTTTTCTCTCCAAATCGAATCCATGTCATCCTTTTTTTGTTCCAAAACAGGTGTAAAAGTTTAATTTGTTTCAAAAGCAGTACTATTCAATTTTTAATGTTTTTTTAATTACTACTAAAGTAATTAATGACTTTCAGTAGTATGTGCAACAAATAAAGAATTTCTTAATTATTTTTTAAAATAAATTGGTTTCAATATTTCAATTGAAATAGAAAATACAGTTTTTCGTACTTCCTGAAAATATGTCAACAATGACAAGGATTCACTTAGGAAATAAGTGACCCATATGTAAAGACCCAAATAACTTAAATCTCTTCTCCTACCTCTTCACCACAGCTAATCATCAAGAATCACTTTAAATCTGCCAATTAACAGAGACTGAAATATCCAAAAACTTAAAAGTTCAAGAAGTATAAAATAAATGAATTTCTTGAGATAGGAAGGAGGATAACCAAATTAGTCAAGTCTTAAAGCTTATACAGAACAGTAAAATACAGAAAGAATCCATACCTTTGGTAGGATAACACAGTTACACCACTGGGCAATTTAGATGAATTTTCCAAAGCTTTTATAACTTTATGGCTCTCATCACGTTGATAAAGTGAAACCCAAGCAGTTGTATCACTCAACCAAAACAACTGAGTTGAACCTAGAACGAAAGAAAAAAAGTAAAATAAAACAATTCTAAATATACTAAAATGGTCGTTACATTCCACTTATAAGGGGAAATTAATCAAAATCTGAATTGAATTTTCTCAAAAAACAAACAATAAACATAAAATAAAACAACTCCTTTTTCCTCCCACCACATCCATAAATATAATATGAATAATGTAGCGAAAATAAATACTTCTTAAAGAGCTTATTAAATTGATCTGATATATTTTAATATTTTTTTATAACTAGATAAAAAAATATTGAAACCAGCAACCAGAGTTGAGCGTAGTTAACTATTTTTTAGTTGAATAATACTATGAATTAATAACATGTAGATGTTAGTTGGCGGTTCCAAATAATGGTTTTTCTACTCAAGCAGTTGAAATTGGAGGAAATAACCAAACACTTTGAAAGTTAGTTGAGAACCAAACTAATAACAATTGGTTTAGTTGTTATTCAAATTACTACAGCTTTAGTTAAATAGTTGCCAAAAACATGGTCTCTATGTGCAATGAGATTTGAATAGATGAGTTGACCTTGACAAACATATAACGATTATTGATAAAGACAGGGTATGAAGTGGCTAACACGAAATACGCGATGCCAGGCAACCTGAGAAACCGAAGTTTATATGATAAAATAATTACAAGTTCATGTCCAGGTGGTGGGGTTTTTTTAATTTTGGCAGTAATCTCCGCCCTCTCACCTGGCCCAGGAAAAAACCGCATTACTTAGAAGGCAAGGAAGGAGTGGGGAAAAAAAATTAAATTGGTGCTAATTAACCTATTCATAGTCCAAATAGATGAATATTGTTGAAAAGAATAATATTACTGATTTTCAGTATTCATTTAGTCCAGTATTTATGCATTTTAATTTTTTTGAATTTCTTCAATATTCTGATCTATAAATGGTTAACTGGAGGTGTATTTTTTAAATAACCTATCCATCTTAATATCTCGCACTCCCATCACGATTTATTTTACTTTGAATTTTTTTGTTCTTTAGATCCATTACTTTTTTATGAGGGGAGTAGTTTTTGAAAATACTATCAATTTTAAGCATTCCTGCTAGCATATCAATTTACTTTAAAGTTTTCGGATTTCTATGATGTTTTGTCCTATCATTGGGTTATTGGAGATTTTTATTATCAAATATGATCTGTTCTTAGATAATAATTTTTGACTGGGTTTTGTTGGTCAGCAGGTATTAATGTTTCATGGATCCTCGAGATATCAATCTAGATATAATTAGCTTGAGTTCTGTGAATGACTTTATTTATTTAAGAGACTTTATCATTATTATTGTTTTACACTTCATCAGATCTTCATTAGAAACTCCTTTTCATTCATTAACAGATATATTAGCATTGAGCAACATTAACAGTAAATTAAAATGCTCAAATGTACAGTTAATTCAGAATTTGTCTCCCTGAAAACGTAATAAATCATTCCACTACCGAAGGATTTTAAAGAAGAGATAATTAAATGAGTTTTTCATCTACACTAGCCTAATGTATGCTTACTACATTGATTTAAAATAGTCAAAACCCATACTTTAATAATTAGAAAAGAAAAATATTTTAAAATATTACTTTAACAAGCAAAAGTACACACCAAAAGGACTGAAGAGCTTTTGGATATTGTTTGCATTCCAATGCTTTGGAAATGAAATATGAAAAACATGATCCCTGCTCGGCTCCGCTGTAAAAAAAAAAAATTAATTAAAAATTTAGAAAAAAAACATTAAACAGTTTCAAAATATTTATAAATTAACAATATTGCAACACTAGAAAAACAAATAGAACTATACATTTCTGGTTGCAATCAGATGTAATGAAATAATAGAAAATGAACAGGAATAGATATTCCTTGATATCAGCAAATCAAAAATCCTACATGGTTATAAAAAATCATTATTTAAGAAAAAAGATTGAAAAAAAAAAAAAAAACCTGTAACTGGGTTGAATCTAAACTGGGCGGGTTGAGCATGCTTTGGCATGAAACTAGCAATAAATGCTCACATTCACTTTATTGCGCCAACAATCAAAGCTTAGATGATTCTGGAGAGAAAACTCTTTAGACCTCATAAAATTTTGAATTATACTAACTCCTTTGTAGCTTAGTAGTTAAAGCTTAGTTTTTTGTAGCACTATTGCATAACATTTATTTGAAAAGAAAATGGCCAATCAAAAAGAATTTTTAAAATGGGGAATAATTTTTATGACCAAAAACAAGACTACATTCATAAATACAAATAAATTAAAATAATTTATAATAGCAAGAAAGGCCATTATATAGCCACCGATTATGAGAAATACAAAAATCGAAATGTAATTACAGTGGATAAAAGTATTTTTTCGGAGAAAAATTAAATAATTGCTTAGAGTAACAGTCTCAAGTGGTATATCTTTAATATTTCCTTCTTCCATTCAATTGTTGGCATTCATTCATGAGTCATTAATGATATCTATTCATAGTACACTCAGCCTCATATTGGATTAAGGAAATTTGAATTTAGTTTTCTCGAAAAATGCTACTTATCACCTTCATCTATCCGACCCTTCAATTATTAACAATAGAGTAGTTAAGATCAAACAATACTTTTCAAAAGAAGGAAAATATAGTTCTACATAAAAATAATTCTAAGAAGAAAAAAAAATGAAAATTAATAACATACGATCAGGGTTTACCAGGTCTATACATGTGTCAGGTGCTTTCATCAGAAACAATCTGTAAAAATTAAATAATTTATATACGAAATATAAATAACCAACTTACTGCTATTTATGTGAGGGCTATTAGTGCTATTTATCGATATTAGTGTTAATACAAAAATACAATACAATAAAATAATATAATTTATACTATTGTACTATTAAAGATTTGTTTTTCAACAAAAAAGAAAAGGTTCAGACAGTAAATTAACAGAATATAGTAAAATAGACAGATCACAAGTAGAAATACACATACTATAAATAGACAGATTCATAAGAAATATTAATTTTTAAGATTTCTGTAACGAAAAATTTACTCACTTATTCATGTACTTCTCAATTGGTTTGCAATTTTTCAAGCTTGAAGTTTTGTTGTCTGGGTCTAAATAAGAAAAATGGTAAAATAATAAATAGTTTAATTCACTTCTTAAAGAACATATGTTGACAAATATAGAACTTAAAAAACCATAAAATGTACAGATAAGGAAAGAAAAAAAAGGCCAAACAAATATTGCTATTTTCTATTATCAATTAGCCTATGATGATAAATTCTATTGGAAAGGCAAACAATGATAGCCTCTTGGGCACTTTAGATATTTATTGTAGAAAAACTTCTAGCCACCGAAATGGACAACTGGAGACGAGCGGTGGGAATATCCAGAATGGATAAAGTGAGAAATACGACCATCAGAGAAAAGATGGAGGCTAAAAGAACCATTCTGAAAGAGGTTGAGATAAAACACTTGAAGTGGTATGGACATTTGAAAAGAATGCCTGAAGGAAGACTACCCAAGAAAGCCCTCTTATGGAAAACTAGGGAAAGAAGAAGACGAGGAAGACCGAGGAAAACATGGGATAACGAAGTGGAGGAATCCATTATGGGTCATGGTCTACAGGAAGAATGCACCTTAGATAGGACATGATGGAAAGAGACCATCCAAGCACTTTAGGTTAAGGAAACTCACTATCAAACAGTCCGACCTTTGAATAAAATTGCCAACCCTACCTCACTGCACTTCCGTCCTATTTCTCTCCGATCCAACCTTTCAAAGCCGTTAGAACACCTTGTCCAAAATCAGCTCTCCAACTTCCTAGGGGAACGTTCCTTTATCAACCCATTCCAATCTGGCTTCCAACCTGGCTACTCAACGCAATCCACTCTCCTTAAAATGACCACCAAAACTCTATTGAACAACAAAACATTACTATACTTATCCTTCTAGATTTTCCCAAAGCGTTTGACACAGTTGACCATAATATCCTCCTTACTAAATTGCACAATCTTCCTCTATCCAACAGTGCCCTGCGCTGATTCAAATTCTTCCTTTCAAATCAGTCCCAGTAGGTAGTCTTCCCTCCATCTAAGACCCTCCCCATCTCCTGTGATATACCTCAAGGTTCCTCTTTATCTCCTACATTGCTTGCTTTTACATTAACTAGTAGGCCCATGCGAGAAATTCGCACAGCATCAAAATTAGAATGTAACTTATATATATATATATTTACTATGACTATTTAATTACTCTGTATTTTTATTTATGTATCTCTGAGGCTCCTTAGCCCACATTTCTGTCATGCTGTATTATTCTAGAGGGACTCGTCCCAAAATAAATAAAGTATTATTATTATTAATGGAAACTTCTAATAAAAAAAAATATAATAACACACTGCACTCTTAATAAGTGTTATTCCAATAATAATACGTGTCCTATTCTACAATGGGACAAGTTAATTACTTAATAAACAAACTTTTGTTTTGGTTATTCCAGCATTGATAAACTGCTGATTTTGTTTATCAGCTTATATTAATTGATAAGCTGTTTTGTTTATCTTCATTTTTAAGAACAGAGGAATTCTCATTATGTATTTCCCTAATTTTTTTTTTATAGTAATAAACGTTACTTAAGAAAATTTTGGTTCTATTTTTTAAAGTAATATAAAAGGGGAAAAAGAACCAATAGAGAGAATTTATTAATTAATAAAACTGAAATTAAACAAAAAGATATAACAGAAAAAGAATCTGTAGAGTTAATTTAATTGAACAAATAAACTTTATATTGAAGCCTTCACATAAACACTCAGATGAGAATAGCATGGGAACCAGTAGATGGCTGACCACACACAAGACCAAGCTTTCAAATAATAATAGAAAGAAACAGGTGACCATCAGTTTTTAAATTGATGACTAAATAGTCAAATATTGTGCTTTTCAAAATAATCATACTAAACAATATTTACCTAATGCTCTAATTAAGGAAAGAAACACAGTTCCAGTAATAAAAGCATCATAGCCAGCATTATGATATTTCACATCCGATAAAACATAGCTGTATCCTTCTTCACCATCTAGAAAATTAAAAAAGCGTGATTTTTTTTTTTTTTTTTTTTTTTGTATCACCTGTTTACAAGTAAAAATTAAATATACCTATTTCTGGTAAATGAAAAGGTGGTTTTGAAATTGTGTCCATTAACATTTCCAATGTACTTCCATTAATATTTTGCTTTATTGTTTCCTCTGCGCAAATAAGTTTTGTATCAACTATCCTGGGAAAAAAAAATTAACTTGTACTAAACTGATCAGTTAAATACTTGAATTACTTATGTCAGAAACAACACATTGAGATTTTTATAATTTCTAACTAAAATCTTCATAAATAAAAGTCTACAAAAGATATATGGTATAAACAATCAATTTTCACATTTACGTACATAACTATTATATGATGTATATACTTGGAATTATGCACAGTAAATTTGTGGAAAATCATTAATAACTATAATTTGAGCCTACACTGTACAGATGTTACTCCACTTTCAGGGGTGGCACAAGATTCATGATCACACCATAAATGGAATACCAAGAATGGCCAAGCGTGATTGAAAGTGGAAGTGATTGAACTATCTGAATGTTTATCCCTTATAAGTAAGCGCAGCAAGTGTGAATTGAAGGCAGTGATGTAATTAATGTTAATAAGGCCCTAACTTTAACTGAAAAGAAACAGTATGTACTTTGTCAGTCATAAATCGTGATCTAAACAAACTTAGGTTATAATGAGTCAATCCTTGGCTATTCTAAACACGTCAATCCTTCGCTATTCTCGGAATCCCATTTATACCGCGAACATGCGATCTTGATCCACTGGACAAAGTGGAGTGATATTCTTACAGTGGTATCAAATTTGATAATAAGATCAATATAATAAATATATATAATTACTTTGGAAATAATGTATGAATCATTTCTTTGAATTCATGATAATCTGCAGGAAGCGGATCAAGGAATCTCTGCACAAGGTGGCAAATATCAAGTAACATATTATGACCAACTACCAATTTGCCCTACAACAGATATTAGAATAAGAAATGAAAATTGTTATATTTACAGACGATTCATATTTTCGGTACTTAATTAATTAATTTTTAAAGTTTACAAGTTTTACCTTGGCAGAAATTTCACGTATAACTTTAGAGAAACCAACAGCAGCTGCTATTTCCTTTGCATCTTTCTCTTCCATTAAATCTTCCACACCTTTTTTACAAAACATTCCTCCACCTTCACTTTTAAGTATAATGCCATCAACATTTTTATATCTAAAAGTAAATGATAGAAAACAGTTTGTTATTTTCTTCTGGTTTAAAAATTATTTATTTGTTTATCTAAAGGTACGTAAGTGATAAAACTGAAACTGTTATTTTAGTTATACAATTTATGAATAAAATAATTAAGAATAAATTATGGCTTACTTTTCTTCAAAAGCTTGATAAATGAGCTTTCTGACAAAGCCAGAACACTTATCAATTTTAACTTCACTTTCTTTACCACTAACGACTTGGTCAATTTTTTTCCTACAAATATAACATAATTAGCAAAGGTCTTATATATTTTAAAACTATCCAACCTGATAAAACACACACATTGCATTGTCAATTGTAGGTTTGAATTGTTTAGGTACAGGTATGGTTTGTGTGGAGCTGTCTTTAACTTGATTAGCTCTATAGCTTCTTTTTACTTCCATAGCATCAGCTAGTTGCGATTCATCATTAGAATTTAAATACGGAATGCCTGTAAAATTGGAAACTGGATAAAAATTAAAGAAAACATTATACTTTAAATCATTAAGAAATAATAGATCACCTTCTCTAAATAGCTTGTTAAAATCAAAATTATTGGAAACCAAGAAATCTATACTAGAGGTTTGACACAAAAACCTTATGTCAGGAGCAAGTCTGTTAATAGGTCTTGGAAATAGATAAAATACATAGGTTTTATTCTTGTACCTATAATCAAACATAATTATAAGTATTAGTATGATAACAGCATTCAAAAATTATTCCAGTTCAATAGAAAGAGTGAGCACCTTCCCGTTTTATCATCTTGAGTAAAAATTGACAGACCAAATTGTATAAAAAGAAAATCCATGGAACCTGCACGAATCTTGAGATAAGATTCAGCAGGAGTGTCAAATGCATTGACAATATGACCATTATTTAGCCCAGTAAATTCACCATCAATGCAGAGGAAAGATGCATTTTCAATTTCTTTCACAATATCAGGGAACACTTCTTCAAAATCTAAAATAATCATTGTTTTTTTAGAATAATAATCCAACTTTAGAATGAACATAAAATGGATAGCAAGTATTATCACTCACTTGATTTTGTTACTTCCATTTTCACAGATCAGTCATTGTGAAAATGAATAGTGTTAAAGTGGAATAAGGTAAACTTTGAGTTTATCTAGAACTAATACCGACATGGACATCAACTGCACACTACGGGTAACCTCCCTTTGATTGTAAACCTTGTTTCGTAAACTTCCTAAATTATAACCTTCTCAGAAGGTTTTGTTTTTACATTGTTTTTTGTTTTACTATTAGGATCAGTAATTATTTTTACTATTATTTGCCGTAAATATTAATTATTTATGCAAAATTTAATAATGTGGAATATTGATTTAATAATTTTTGTCAATAAAATAAAAGTAACTATTTTTTAATTAACTCTTCAAATTTTCCAAGGATATTTTTAATTAATTAATAAAATTAATAATTTCAAGAAAATAACGTATAATAAATAAACCCTTTTAACTCTTTTCAATCCTTCAATTCATTTTATTTATTACAATAACGTTTCAGGCCAAATTTGCCCATTTTCAAGTCGAACTTTTTATCTAAAATATTACCTTACATTAAATATCTACATCTTATATCTGTTACACTTTTTTCATAAATATTTAATGTATGGTAATATTTTAGATAAAAAGGTCGACTTGAAAATGGGCAAAGTTGGCCTGAAACGTAGTTGTAATAGATAAAATGAATTGAAGCATTGAGAGGAGGTGAAAGAGTTTAATAAGTTATTTCTTTGAAGTTATTAATTTTATTAAGAAAGTAACTATGAATTGAGATATTTTGTACAATAGAAAGAGCCAATTAAATGCAAAATGTGAATAATATAAAATGCGCATGGATTATTTTATAATTAGTTAGACAGTAATAATTGATGGGGGCAAATCAAAACAAGCAGGAGCCCTAAGTGGTATTATTTCGCCTCCTCCCCCCCTGCAGAAAAAATAGAAACACTTTAAACTTATAATCTCGATGTATTTAAACAATTAAACATCAATGTTCCAACCAAAGCTATGCAGTTAGAGTCGAAAGTCTTCATGTCCCATAAAGACTTACGATACCCAGTAGTTGGGGATTACCAAACTGGCCGCTTATCAGAATTGTACACTAAGAAAATATCTTTTCAAGTTCGTTCTTTCGGGTTTGTCTTTGGTCCCATCTCTTACCTGAATTATCTGTTTCCATTTATTTGGTTCGTCAGCAATTCTTAACCAGAAAGCCTTGGAAAGTCTTATCAAGCCTTCTCAAAATCACTGAGTATAACTCTTGTAGTTTTGAGCTAACAGTCTCACTTTTAGGAAATGCGTCTCGGTGTCCCCAGGTTTTGCCATGGGATGCCTAAATGTTCCACTGTGGGGGGGCAGCTATCTGCTGAGTCCGGGACCTATATACAATAGTATATGAACAGTATCGTTTAAGAATTATTACTTAAGTAAAGTGTACATTATAACATATTAAAGCTTGATATATTTTTATTACATTCTTCTTGTCTCCTCTTCTGCGAAAGTTTTAATAATCGAATGAAGATTCAATTTTCTAACTTAGACTCAATAGACAACAATATATTTTTTTTATTTGCATAGTCAATTACATTTTTAAATGGATACATTTTTTATTGCTAACATTTAAAACATATTTCAGACCATGTTCTGACATTTTTTGAAGGATTGTATGAGTTAAAAAATATATTTAGGGTCATGTTTTGAAAAAAAATTAAAATAAACCAGGTTTACGTATTTAAAAGAAAACTGCATCAATGATGCATGAAGGTGAGTGATCTCATATCAAAGACGAACATCGAAATAGAGTTAGAAATTGATTCTTATAACAGTTTTCTCGTTCTTTTAAACAGTTTTAATAAAAAAGAAGCATGAAAGTACGTTAAATTCAGATTTTAAGTTAAATATTCATTTCAAAAAGAGATTCTTGGAGGGTATGTTGTTTCAAATGTGGAAATTTACCTAACAGCCAATCTGAAAGCCAGCTTCTGATCACGTGATTCAAGCTTGAGGTTGTGCCTTATTTTCTGAAGAAAAACAACACCAAAAGGAGAATTTGCTAAATTGAAATATAAAATTTCCAAAATTATGAATTAGAAACGAGCTAACAATAAATTATGTAGGAATGAAAACTCAACTTACATTCCATGTGATCGAAAGTAAATCTATTAGTCTGTGGGCCAGACCCCCTTACCGTGCACCCCCCCCCCCCCACATCCCTATAAATTGCATATCGTTGTGTTCCTTGTGACAATTTATTAAAAAAAAGCCAATGTTCCCACAAAAAAAGTGAACGAACTGTCCCAAAATGGCGTCCAAACATGGCGGATTGACGACTTTGACTTTAGTTAGTTTTTTTGTTACTGAGAATCAGCATTTGGCTTAATTTCATCATAGGTGGTCTTTTATTAAAGCTAGATAGTCAGAGAATAATAAAACATGAAAAAATATTAAAAACTAATTGGCTTAGGCATTAAAAAAAATCGGTAAAGTCAATTTTTTTTACAAAAACATTTTCAAGTTGAAAATCAGGCGCCGTTTGTAATTAAACGGTCAACAATAATGCAAAACGTTCTGAAATAAAACATCTGGAGAATACATTTCTCTTTCTAAAACACTGATTACTTTTCAAAATATTTGAAGTAGTTTCGTAGAAAATGTACTTAAGCGGCAGGAAAGCGCTACTGGCGTAGGTGCCTTGAGGCCTCTACCACACCACTCAGTACTCATAAATGGCTTAGTTATAGTGCTATAATAACGTTTTTGTTATATTATATTGATTGTGTTAACGAATGAATATTAATACAATAATTTAATTGTCAAAAAAATTTTTTTTTTATTTATTAATTTTTTTATTTATAATTTATTTTTTTAAATTTATCTTCCTTTATTCTATACGGAGGTCGCTTAAGGAGGCCTCTATTATAAAAATTATATAATTATAATAATAAAACTAATTCAAAAATACGTTGCAGAATATCTTGAATTTTTTATTTAATATTTGCAATTTAACATTTTGTTTTATATATTTACTGATTCTTAGAGGTAATTTAAATTGTATATACTTCCCCGAAATGAGTCATATTAATATCTGTTTTATAAACTAAATAATATATACCTAATCTGAACTACTTTTAATGAATAGGTGATGGATTGTTTAGTAAAATTCATATATCGCTATTAAAAAAATCATTTTTATTTCCTTAATTTTATTCGGAAGTTGGACCATATCATAAAAAATATGAACTTTTAATATTAAATGCATAATTCCCTCTGCACAAAATAAGGATGCAAAGGGCGAAGCTATAAGTTCTTCTAGGTAACTGGAACTGATTGTTAGTATTTGGTCTCAAAATGAGGGAAAACGCGAAATTGAACCCAAACATTGGAAAAATACATTAAGCGAACGACAAAGGAAGTGCCAAAATTTCGGAAAAGAAAACAAGGATCCGTATCCGTTATATGGCAAAACGAATATATAGGAGACAGATGAACAGAATATTTTAAGATGATGCTAAAAGAGGGTCAAAATGCTTGATCAGTTTGGATGATATTAAGCAGGTTTATTATGGTAAAGACCATTTCATTAGCAAGAAGTTTGTGGATTTCGCGTTTTCCCTCATTTTGAGACCAAATACTTACAATCAGTTCCAGTTACCTAGAAGAACTTATAGCTTCGCCCTTTCCATCCTTATTTTGTGCAGAGGGAATAATGCATTTAATATTAAAAGTTCATATTTTTTATGATATGGTCCAACTTCCGAATAAAATTAAGGAAATAAAAATGATTTTTTTAATAGCGATATATGAATTTTACTAAACAATCCATCACCTATTCATTAAAAGTAGTTCAGATTAGGTATATATTATTTAGTTTAAAAAACAGATATTAATATGACTCGTTTTCGGGGAAGTATATACAATTTAAATTACCTCTAAGAATCAGTAAATACATAAAACAAAATGTTAAATTGCAAATATTAAATACAAAATTCAAGATATTCTGCAACGTATTTTTGAATTGTTTTATTATTATAATTATATAATTTTTATAATAGAGGCCTCCTTAAGCGACCTCCGTATAGAATAAAGGAAGATAAATTTAAAAAAATAAATTATAATAAAAAAATTTAATAAATAAAAAAAAAATTTTTTTTGACAATTAAATTATTGTATTAATATTCATTCGTTAACACAATCAATATAATATAACAAAAACGTTATTATAGCACTATAACTAAGCCATTTATGAGTACTGAGTGGTGTGGTAGAGGCCTCAAGGCACCTACGCCAGTAGCGCTTTCCTGCCGCTTAAGTACATTTTCTACAAAACTACTTCAAATATTTTGAAAAGTAATCAGTGTTTTAGAAAGAGAAATGTATTCTCCGGATTTTTTATTTCAGAACGTTTTGCATTATTGTTGACCGTTTAATTACAAACGGCGCCTGATTTTCAACTTGAAAATGTTTTTGTAAAAAAAATTGACTTTACCGATTTTTTTTAATGCCTAAGCCAATTAGTTTTTAATATTTTTTCATGTTTTATTATTCTCTGACTATCTAGCTTTAATAAAAGACCACCTATGATGAAATTAAGCCAAATGCTGATTCTCAGTAATAAAAAAACTAACTAAAGTCAAAGTCGTCAATCCGCCATGTTTGGACGCCATTTTGGGACAGTTCGTTCACTTTTTTTGTGGGAACATTGGCTTTTTTTTTAATAAATTGTCACAAGGAACACAACGATATGCAATTTATAGGGATGTGGGGGGGGGAGGGTGCACGGTAAGGGGGTCTGGCCCACCGTGTATATTCTTTCAGGTAGAAAAACTAAAGAACTCTAGAACAACAGTATTTTACCAGATAATATTTCTGAATGTGCCAATCCAGGTGAGTATTTTCAAAGAGATGTATGTAGAGCTCTTGTCGGTTCGATTATTATACAGTGGAACAAAAAAGTATTGCCACACCTATATTTTTTTTATTTGCATAGTCAATTACATTTTTAAATGGATACATTTTTTATTGCTAACATTTAAAACATATTTCAGACCATGTTCTAACATTTTTTGAAGGATTGTATGAGTTAAAAAATATATTTAGGGTCATGTTTTGAAAAAGAATTAAAATAAACCAGAAAAATACAAATATTGGGTACCCAGGTTTACGTATTTAAAAGAAAACTGCATCATA